CCCAGCTACTAGAGAATCCTGGGAACCTGAGGCTTGACTAGGTACAGCTTTTCCCATTTTGAGTTGTATGATGCCTGAGTTGCATAGCTGCCCCTCACTTTTTCCAGTAAACACAAGTCTGTGTGTGTGTGTGTGAGAGAGAGAGAGACAGAGAGAGAGAGAGAAAGAGGGAGGGAGGGAGGGAGGGAGGGAGAGAGAGAGAGAGAGATGGGGGGGCAGTATGGGACAGAGTACTGTATCACAAAACTCCTGATAAAAATTTGAGCACTTCATAGGGCAAGCAGCTTACCATTTTGGAAGCAAAACTGAATTATATGATCCCAGTAAAAATGGGAATTGAGCATAATGAAAAAAGCCAAATTCAATAAACTTCAGAGGTGGTTTTATCCATGGATAATTAACTCTGATGTCTTTCTAAAATGAGAATAATTGAAAACAGGGATTTAAAGTTGATTCATGGAAGCTTCCCCAAGATATTTATTATTGCAAGCCCAGAAGATCTGTCTGGGTTTTGTCACTTGGGATGACTAAACTTGGTATCCAGATGTTTATTTAAGTTGCTCCCACATAGCTCTGAAGTCAGTTAACAGAAGGTTATCAGGGAACAGCCCCCGCAAATCGTTGACTAATATTCTCATTTCTTTTGCAACTTTGATGTTTTATTTCATTAAAATTCCTGGCCCTTTGCCACTAGGGGAGAAATCTGCTTGGTTTGCAAAAGAGCGGCCTGAATACATGACATACGATTGTGCCTTCAGTCTGAGGACAGCCAAGGTTTTTTATCACCAACCCTTGCAAAAATTGATGTGGTGACAATCTGGAGGAATTAGAATGGAAAAAGAATAGAATAGAAAATAAGATTTTTCACAATTTTATTAGGAATAAACTCCAGCACTTGAATTTAGGTGAAATGACTCTTCCTTTATATAGAAAAGCCAAAACAAAATAATCCAAAGATGTATTTATCAACAATCTGCTATAAAACAAAGGTAGGTGGTAGCTCAGGACTGTTAAAAGATGGACAAACCAATCTTCCCCAGAGAAATCGGAGCAGAGCTAAGGAAGGCCTCTGGAGCAGTGTTTCGTAAACCTGGCAATGTTAAAATGTGTGGATTGGGGAATTCTGGGAGTTGAACGCCATACATCTTAAAGTCAAGTTTGAAAAACATTATACAGGAACAAAGGGAACAGCACAACTGGCACAAAATACACGTCTGTGTATGGTTGTGTGTGTGTGGGAGAGAACAGCCATTGTTGTGGTAAGTTGCATCTGTTCACTTGCAAAAAGAAGGGTGGATTTATTGGAAAACCCCAAGAAGACTGAATGGAAAAACCCCTGCCATGTCTGGAGGCCCAGTACAGTCAAGCCAGTCGGAGGGAAGGAAGAAAAAGTAACCAGAAAGGGAGAGGCAGGATTAACTGTTGTAAGAAAGAAGCAAAATTCCAGAAAAGGACTGTAATTCTTCTATTCTTCAGGTTGATAACAAACCACTTATTTTAAAGGCCAACCAGTGGCTCTAGAGCTCCCAATTTAAGCAAACGAAGGGCAGGGACAGAGGAGCCCCCTCCCCCCAATCTGAAACCCTCACTAAGGCTGCACTTTTGTCTGGGAGACAAGTCACGTGGGCTGAACTATGTTGCACTTAAGATTTTATGAGGGTCACCCGAGCAAACAAGGCCTCTTCAAGTGCCCCAGTCACTCACTGAAATGTTAGTAGGGCAAAAGTTGGATCTGAAACTCAGCTCCTCTTTCGGGAAAGCAGAACCAGCAAAATGCCCACCCAGCCCAGGGGGCCTCCCCCTTAGCCAAGAGCAGCTTCCCCCAAGGTTACGAAAGCAACTGAAACCTCTCTGGAATGAACACCTGGACAGCTGCGGCCCATTCATGTCGAACTCTCCCACAGGACCCCTTAAACCAGCCTCCCCACCAGGCTTGTGGGATTTCAGCGTCCATAATAGAAGCCACCTAGAACAGTGGTCACCAACCGGTGGGCCGGGGACCACTGGTGGTCCACGAGAAAATTTTGGTGGGCCGCAGAGAAATGTCCCCCCAAAGCAATTAATCCAGGCTGTGCGGGAACACAAGGCTGCACCGCCCACATGGCCCACCCACCCGCTGGCCCCCACCCTTTGGCCGAGCGCAAACCTTACCTTCAGCAGAGCTATGCAAGCTGGAACTGCGGGGGAGGGAAACCCACCCTGGGCTGCCTTGCTGACATTGGTGGGGAAGTCGGTCCCATATTCCAGAGCTGCCGTAGTCACAGGACTGGCCCTTTGGTCATCCCGGAGCAGCTCCTCCAGTCCATGGCAGGCCGGTGCAGCTGGGTGGAGGAGCAGCTGCTCTGGGATGACCAAAGGGCCAGTCCTGTGACTACGGCAGCAGCTCTGGAATATGGGACCAACTTTCCCCCCAATGTTAGCAAGCCACCGTCAGCCAACATTCATATGAGTGGTCCGTGGGATTTAAAATTATGAGTTTGGTGGTCCCTGAGGTCCAAAAGGTTGGCGACCTCTGACCTAGAGGACTTAGGGCTTGGAGGTCCCAACTCTTCCCTCAGGGCCAGCCATTTGGGGAGGACAGGCGGGACACAGTGTTCCTTGCACTGAGCAGGATATATTTTTCCTCCTGGAGATAACAAGAAGATCCATATAGTGCACAAAGGTTCCAAATTTTAATGTAAATTAAAAAGAATATAGAAACAACTCTAATAAAAAAATATTGCAGCCTTGCACTGTGTTTGTTTTGGAGCAACCCTCAATCGAGAAGACTCTAAGGCAGCTACGAAATTTCTGCTGCTCCTCTATAGCTTATCTTCAATCCCGGCACCTGGAAAGCTGTTTGGTCAGGTGTTGCTCTCCTCTCCCAATGCTTGTGATGAGCGACTGTCAGGCTCCAGAGCTGTGCTGAGCCCAAACCACAGCCAAGCTGCCCATCACTGGGCAACTTTAGGCAATAGTGATGCTGCCCCCAGGCAAAGCACACTCCCGAGGGGCTCTAGGCATGGAGAACCTCTTCAGCAAGGCCCGTCTCTCGTCTGCCAGGCAGTTCTCTTCGGAATTAATCCTCAGCTGAGCTGTCTTCCTCTTCATCTCTGACTTCTCTGTAGCCGGTCATCACCTGCCCTTCTGGCTCATAGTGAACCATCTTAATCCCAAGTCTTTCAGCTAGCTTTTGGGCAGCAACCTTAGCTTGCATCTCCTATAACAACAAGAAAGAAAACCTTGCATCAGACAAATGAATTAGTGTCAAACAAAAAGCTAAATTAAATTACTGCAAAGCAAGCACACTTAAAGTATGCAGCTCACTAGACTCCTTTCAGGAAAACATTGCAAAAGGCAAGAGGGGGTGGGTGGGAAGGAGGATTGAAATTAAACGGCAAGTTTTTTTGCCAGATAACAAAGAGTCATGGAAAGCATTTGGATATCAAGAGCATCAGAATGAGAGCGAGCTAGAAAGCAGCAATGACAAAGGAAGCTTATTTGGATGGAGAAGTGGAGAGAGAAACTCCCCAAGCTCAGGACTGAGACTTTTGTTCAAGCACACATCATAAAACAGGTTCATGGCAGAGTAAATAAAGCCAGGCGTTTCATCAAAGCCTTTACAGAGTCATGTTTAAAGCTGCCATTAGAGACTAGGCTGCCATTAGAGGCGTCCAGAGGAAGAAGTTTAAATGTTCCAATCACTTGAAGCATTTTGGGGAAAGGAGGCAGCGAGCGGACTTGACATGCACTTGTCTCTACTGTATTTAACTAACCAAATGGCGCAATTATTTTCCACCCTCTGGTCACTCACCGGATCCCACACCCCGCCCGCCTTTCCCCCAGTTCTGCCGGGCACTCAAAGCGCCCGAGAGACAGAAGCCACTGCGGGGGGAGAGACCCGGGGTGAGTTTGGAGCCTCGCTTCCCAGCCGCGCCCCCCGGCCCCCCCGGCCCACACCGGGGCCCGCTCCCCCTCCGCACCTGCCGGGCCTCCTCCTGACGGAGCTGGATGGCCACCGACTCGGCCAGGGGCAGCAGCCGCGCGGGCGCGTGGCGCAGAGGGGGCAGCCGGGCGGCCGACGCGTCCTCCGGGCGCCGCTTCTCCCTCCGGGGGGCTCCGCCGGGCCGCCTGCGGGAGGGAACTGCTTAGCGGGGGCCGAGAAAGAGCCCGCGGGACCCGCCCCGACCCCGCCATACTCACGCGCCGGCCCCGCATCGGCCTCCCTTCTCCGCCGCCAAAGAGAGGCCGGCCAGCGCCAACGCCGGGGGAGCCGCCTCCGGGCCACCGCCGCTCCGCCGCCGCTCGCGCTCCGCCACCGCCGCCCGCAGCCTGGCCGCGCACTCGCGCACGCGCTCACCGCCGTCGGGCAACCGGGAGACCACCGCCCTGAAAGGCACGAGGCAGAAGCTGAGTCCGCGCGCAGCGGGCCGCCCCCCGCCCAGCCGCTCCTCCGCCCCTCACCGGTCGCCCAGCAGCCTTTCCTGCCGCAGAAGCATCTCCCGCAGCTCCGGCAGGCTCCGCCCGTTCAGCGGGTTAGGCTCGGGCTTCGACATGCTGGCAACAAAGGACCATCGACGGCGGTCTCAGCGCTCTTCCGCCGCCTACTGGGCGCCGCCATCTTTCAGGAAGCCGGTTACGGCGGCCGGGCGGGCCAAAAGACTCGGGAGTTGCGGCGCCTCTAGAAGAGGAAGCAGCGGGCTTACTTCGAGCATGCGCAGGGAGGGGGCTAATTGCGAGCTGTCCCGGGCGGGACGCCCCCTGCCGGGCCAGCCGTGCAATTGCCCCCTCGGCCGCTGCGCCTCGAGGTCTTCGCGCGCATCGGCGGATCCCGAGCGTGGGCGAGCTCCGGGGCTGGATCTGCGGCCGCCCGCCGAGTGGTCCGGATTCGGATCGGCAGCTTGCAGAAGCGGCGCCCCCACGACGATTTCGGGGCTCCCGGGTGGAGAGGAGATCTGGCCGCGGGGGGCGGGAGCCTCTCTCGGCGGGCCCGGTGGTTGCTTCGGCTTGGCCAGGTGCCCGGCACCGTTCAGGAGGAACTCCGTTTTTCTTGTTTTGGGCAGCCTGAAAATTCCCGTTTCTAATTCCGATTTGAATGTAACTCGTCACAGGTTATGGCCAATTAGACAATTGTTGGTATATAGCATTTATTTCACCTTTCTATGCATACGATACACTTAAAAATAATGTGATCTTACTAAAAGTAGCGGAACAACATAGAGAACAACTTTATTCAAGGGTCTCTGTGACGTCCTGGGACGTTCCGTTAAAAGACCTTAAGGGATAAATGCGTAGGAAATCTGGGCTTATAAAATTGCAGATCTGAACTGGATCTTTACAAGCGGCATGTACTGGCACGTAAGGCCTGGGCAGAGTTTCCTGGATCCATGGAAAGGCAGGTGTGGAAGGCTCTCCTGCGCAAAGCAGCGCCTGCAAATAATGAGGTGATGAGCAGAGGGCCCTTAGCTCAGAAAGCTGGAGGGGCCAAACCTTTACACGCCCACACACAGAGGAAGGCTTTCACTGGGTACTTGTGGCCTCGTCCATGCCATGTGGCAACCTCTTTCGGGCTGTAGCTGCCGCCAGAAGCCAAGTCACCACAATGACTATTATTCCAACAGAAGCACGAAAATCTGCCATCCTGGATGAAGTTTGGATCCCGGATCCATTTCTTTTCCCAGAATCCCTGGACAGAAGCCTCTTGCAAGGCGCAGCAGCGCTGCCTTCTTCCCGTTCCTCCCCTTTGTGGCCTCGCGGGCCTCAGAAGCGGCCCGCCTGCTTGCTCCCCTCCACCCATCGAGCTAGCCGGCTGGGCATGGCCTCACTGGCAGGGGGCTGCCGGGCCCAGGTGGTGGTGCTTGGAAGAATATTCCAGGACTCGCATGAACGGACGGTAGGTCCTGGCTGGCTTCAGCACTTCGAGAGGCAGCTGGCTTCCGTTTTGGGGGCTGTTGGGACAGAAGCAACCTCACTGTAATTCACCGCACAAATATTAGGCAGGTGGACGGACTGGAGGTACAAACCCCTGAGCTCAGGAGGAGGGAGGCAGGGTCACGAGAAGGCTTACAGGCAGTTGCCAATCTCATCTCTCCGGCTTAAAGCCCTTGTAAATTAACTCTGGTTTATTAGGAAAATTAAAGACAAGACAGCTCGTAAACAGCCTGTCAGGCCAGCCTTGTCGTGCACAGAAACTTTCCACCTGCAGCCCCCTCTGGGTGGAAACTGCCAGTTGGCACAGTTGGCAGGCTGGAAGGGCAGGGCTGAGCCTGTGGCCAAGGCCTCGGCCCGCTGCTGGCGGGAGGCCCCCTGACAAAATGCAGTCTCCTGTCTGCTTGCCAGGGATTCCAGCCTCACCCCCTGTGGAAGACCACCCCCCAGCTCCCTCCCGGAGACCCTCTGCAAAGGAGTCCCTGGATGGCTGGAGGCTGCTACCTGGCAGGGAGGTCACATTCCACCCCAACATCTCTGGTGTCCACTTCAGGCCTGGATTGGGTCTCCCGCAGGTAATCCAAACGGTCCTGCAGTTCCTTGTTCTGAAAGACACACAACGCAGTCCTGTCTCCACCTTGCCTGCCCTGCCAGCCGAGCCCTCTGCGCCCAGGAGGAGAGAAGGGAGGTGTCCTTCCAGGGGAGACACAGAACGTCACACTTTTCATTCTTCTAAGGCTTCACTTCCCAGAGGTTCTTGCAAGGTGCAGGGAGGAGATGCTAACTGCCAAAGGGCTCCCCTGTTTCATTCTCCCACTGATCCTGTGAGGCAAGCTAGATTGGAAGGGGGCCAGCGAGGGGCCCAAGGGGTTTTATGACCCAGAACTTGAACCCAGCCTGGCGCTCGGGGGACCCTGCACTGTCTCCTGGCCAGCCTTCAGGAAGCCTAGGATGGGGGGGGGGGGTTTGAAGTGTGATCGGAGGAAGGTCAGAGTTATGGATGAATGCAGACATCATCGGCTGAGGGTCTTCAATACCTGGATCTGAAGGTGGGCCCTGCCCAAGGAGGCGGATACGGCCCAGGAAAATCAAAGCCAGTCGTCGGAATTAAAACCACGACTGAAAGAGTTCAAGGCAGCTGAAACAGACACAGCCCAAGAGACTTTACGCAGGGAAAGCAAAGGATCGAGTGTAACCAGTAACGATCATGTTCTGTCAGTTAATCAAACACTTACCTCTCCCTCAAGAAAAGAGATTTTCTCTAAAAGTTGTAATATAAAGATTTCCTTTTCTTTCAACTTTCTCTTTTGCAGCTCTATCTATGGAGAAAGAAGAAAAAACAGTCACTCCAGAAAAGGCCACAACATCGTTCGCTTGACCCACTGTGGAGACGCTGCTGCGGTTGGAGCCTCTCCCCAGTCCGTTATCATCTGACGGTGGAAGGAGGGGTCTTAAAACGTTTTCTGCAGAATACAGTTGGGTAATTTTCAAATTGCGATCGGGGCATAGGTAAGTATTTAGCACCAGGAAACAGAATTTGCTTTAGGATTCCAAAGATTTCCTTTTTTTAATTTAGTGCCTTTTTTCCTGCTTTTCCAACAAAAGGAGCCAAGAGGATCCAAACATAAAATTAAAGTCACGAGATAAATCCTACCGGCCCTGAGCGGAGGCAGCTGCTGGAGGCCAGGAGAAGGTCTCCCTCGGACCCCAGAAGAGGGAAAGGGTCACAGCCCTCGGTGGGAGGGGCTGATGCTTGAGAGCCCCTCCTGCCTGGGGAGGGGGCCAAGCAGACTCTTCCCCCTGCCTCCAGCCCTTGGAGGGGGCTTCTGTTGAGCCCTTCATGGTTTCAAAAGTGGAGGAGTTGATCCCCACCAGACAGGAGTTCAATATTCACGTCCCCCACCCCTGCCCTGCTGAACTAAGGGGGCCTGTGAAGCAGGTCACCAACACCCCCAACCTGGCATCCCTCCTGACTTCCACTGGGGGGGGGGGGGGCGGGCAGGCAATCCACTTAAGACTTAAGGCCTCCCATATTGTCAGACGTCCTCAGCGAGGCTGGGGTGTGCCTCCTGGCCCCAAGTAGAGCTCACTTGGAGTTTTGGACATGTTCATGCTTCAGCTTTCACCCCCAGCTTTTGCACAAGAAACTGCTGCCTGCCCTCTGCACACCCACATTCTTTAGAAGAAAGTGCAAATGGCAGTGACAATACCTTGTGGCTCGTCTCTCAGTAACCAACGCACAAGAGCCCAGATTTATTGGGCACCCAGACGAACGTGCAGCTATTTGTAAAAGCTGAAACTTCAAACAGTGTCCTTGTCAGTAATTGGGCAGGCAAATTGGCCTCCTAAGGAAATGCAGACTAAGTGAGCCAAACGGGGCAGGAGGCATTTCCCTGGAGCTCTTGCCACACACCATCTTGGCTGAGGCCTCCCTGGCCATAAGTGACACATCTACCCCACTGTCAGCACCAGGAAGCTGGTAGGAGAGGAACCAGACCAGCAGGGAGTGGAGAGCAGCAGGATGTTCTGGTGGGAAATGAAGGAAGAGCTGCGTGCGTGCATGACTGTGCAACAGAGAGGGCCAGCCAGGGGCACCAGCAACAATTCTGGCTCCACCAGCCTGAAAGGAAATGCTTGTGCAGCGAGGATTCAGAGGCACCCAAGAGGACAGCAGCTCCTAAGGATACACTGAAATACACCAAACCCTTAAAAATGACCAGCTGACGATTATTTTGTCTCAATTAGAGTTATTATTACAGCATGGAATAATAACTACCTTTTCTTGTTTGTTCTGTAGTCAGCAAAGTCGCTCTTTGTTGTTGTTTTTAATAAACATATTACCCCCCCCCAGCAAAGAATGTTTTCAAAGTGACATAATTGCAAGAGGAAACAATTTATTAAAACTTCAATAAGTTTTAAGCAACAGAACACTTAAAAAAAAACCTAGTTCACTGAAATGTAGAGTTGCCAAAAGAGCAGCCGAAGAAAAGTGTCGGAAGCCAGGCACACAACCCTCCTGTCTCTGGAAGCCAGCCTGAAAAGCTCCCCCGGGGTTGGGTGGGCTCCTCTCTTCCGCCGCCCCCCAGCCTGAGGTCTGCAAGAAGCTGCTCCAGATACAAGGCACTGGCCTTTGGGGGCCTGGGGGAGGCTTTGGGGTCCAACCACCACCAATTTAGAGTGAAACAGCAGAATCAGTAGGCTTTTCTTTAAAAACAAAGTATTTATTAAAGCACACCTCCTTATCAACAAAATTGTACTACGTAAATACTGTTGCACAAGGCAGCATATGATAAAGAGTGCCCTGACCGAGTCTCCGGCCTTTAAGGGATCGCTCTGGGTCCCAATTTTGCCCCCTGGGAATCTTCCACCATCAGTGCAACAAGGGAGCCGGGAGTGGGGGAGAGATGGGACAAATCGACAGTTGTTCCCAGCACATCTGCAACCTTCTCTGTCCTCATGGACCCTCTGGGTGACGTTCTGCTTCTCCCCTCTGTCTTCATGGCAGCTTCCCCTTCCTTGGGATTCTTTCCATCGGTCGAAGAGTTTTCCTTGGGCAGCCCTGGGTCCTCGCTTGTTCTCCCCGGCCTTTGCCCCTCCACCTGCTGCCACATCAACTGCAGAGGCCAGGCAGGAATCGGAAGGAGCCATTCTGGCTTTCCAGGCAGAGGACCTCAGTGTCCTGTCAAGGAGTACCGGACCGCTGGGCCTTCTGACTCGGTGTTACTACACCATTAGCAGCAACTCTCCAGAATCGCATGCAAAGAAAAGCCCCTTTCAGCTTTTGCTACCACCCATTTAAAGTTAACGGAGGGTGTCCTCCAGGTTCATCCATCCAGAGGGTAACCAAAAGCAGAACACTGCGTAAGAGGAACGTGGAGTGGAGAAGGACCGATAAGGAGAGCCAGGGAACAGTTTAGACCGCTAAACGTTTATTAAGTCACCTATTAATGCAAACATCCCCAGCACAAAAGGAACCATTTTACTTCTGGAGCCAACTGTGCCTTTCTCTCTGCGCAGGTGCTCTGCCTAATCCAAGCCGGATGGGATTCCACCTGAGAACCTTAGGAGAATCTCAGGGCACCAAGGCTCCTGCTGGAGCTGAACTCTGCCTCACGCTTTCTGAAAACGTGACTGTCACTGCAAAGAGTTGGTCTTAGGTGATGAAATATTTCAAGCCGTCTTTACGGCTTTTCCTTCAGCCTCGACTAAAGTCTTAGTTCAGGTTTCTCAATGGGAATGACACAAAAATATCACAAGTGCTTGAAGAGTTGTCTCTGGTGCAATATGTCTCTGTGTGTTCATTCCCCGTCACGCTTTGCCTTTGGACATCCAAAACAAGCAGACAAAGATGACCCCTTTTCCCACTCCATCCGAAAGGGGAATGTCCAGAGGAAAGGATTCCTCTGGGTGGCCTTCTTCTCATTGAGCGTTCCAGAACCCTTGTAAAGGGAAGCCCTTGGGGAATAGGGCTCACCGTGTTTATGGCCAAGGGTCTCTTCTTTTGGAGCTCGGTTTCTGAAATGGGCCGTCCATCAGAACTGCCATCGTAGCACACTGGACCTTTCCAGGTGAGCTACAATATCACAATCCGGTTTGGTTTCTTGGCACCAGCGTCACTTTTTTTCTCCATGGTATGTAATGGATCCTGCCCCTTTTTGTGCTGGGTAACCCCCATCTATCATCGTCCGATGAATCTGAGACTAAACGTGGAGAACAGCTCATGGGCCATAACCTAGAGACAGTGTGATGCAGTTGGTTAGGGGAAGGTCACTCTCAAAGTGGATTCTGCAAACAGTTTCTCAAATAAGGGGCTTCCTTTCGCACCTTACTTCCAGGTACATCCTGCTCTCCCATCCCTTAGAAAGTCTGCTACCAGAACAAGGAGCTGAATGTTACTCCCTATAATTAGTCAACACTAACTTTGTTTTCATTCTTTCAATCTTGCTAAGCGCCAATTTCATATCACAAAGGTTCACAGAATACATCAACTTCTATGTAGATGTTTCATTTTACTTCAGCCTATTCCGATGGAATAGGCTGGAACTTCTGGGCACTTGAGAAAACAATTCCTAAGAAATATTAAGAGAAAATTTTTGTTTACATGCTGCTGGGAATCCTATAAAATGTTGGATCTGATAGCTGGTTCCTCCTCTGGCAGGCCCTAAAATGGTCAAACTGCTGCCTCTCCCACTGCAGACCTTTCCTGAATTTTTGGAGAAAGCCACGATTCCAGGCTATATCCCAGAAGATATACTAAACCCTGATCTGGATGTGCGCATTCAAGACAACTCTTCTAGAATTTCTTCTGGAAGCTTACATGAGATGTGAGAACTTCACCACAGAGCAGGAGAAGCCGTTTACTTGGATGTTACTCTGCTCTTGGAGTTTTTTCCTTAGGAGCTCTACTCGTCAGCCAGACTCTTTGTATGGATGCATTACAGGTTTTCCGCCTGGTGCGCAACTCACCTCCTCAACCATGTGCTTGACTTTCTTCTGCTGACACAGAACCATGTCGTCCAGGTGCTGGATTCGTTCTCTGAGACTGTCAGTAATTTCCTCCAGCTTGAGGGACCTGACCAAGGAAATAGGCCCATTAAACAAAACACACCCCACAATTCCAGCCTTTGTATGTCCCTTCCCCACAAGCTCAATATGTTTTTGCCTCACAGGGTTGTTGACAAGGGGATCAGACAAGTGGGGAGGGGCTGAAAGTGAGCTGGACTCAAAGGGCCTCTCCTTGTCCCCCTTTCCGTAAAAACCGGTCCCGAGCGGTTCTTTTAAGGGCTTTCAAAAGTTCTGGCCTGAAATAGTCTTTTCTCTGCTGAGCTTTTTCAATGAACCTGCAATTTCTGCTCCTTGTTTTCCAGAAAAGAGCCTGCTCGAGCAGACCTTCCAGGATGGGAGCAGGACGCCCAGCCATGTCCCTCTTCCAACCGAGTAGCCTCCCCAAGAGAACCAGAAGACTAAGTTCCCGACAGAAAAGTTCCTTACCTTGGTTGGCTGGACTGGTCGTAAACAGCCGCTCTTTGTAGCTGCATTTCATACTCTATTAATTGCTTTTGCAACTGATGGCGTTCCTGAGGGGAGAAATACAGAGGGAAATGAAGACATTTTGCTTTAATCAATGACTCGGCCCCCCACCCCCACTCAGTAGCCATAATGCCAGCCAAGTAAGTGAGAGCACTGACTTTTCAAAGCAACATTCAGTGCTGTGACTAAAGTTACCAGTCTGGAGACTGTCACAGAGTACCGCAGTTCTCTGTCACAGATATTATTGGAGTCTGTGAATGTTGTGACTTTCATAAATCTGTTGTCAGTTAATAGATTCCAAGTCGTCCCCCCCCCCCCCCCCCCCCCCAAATCACCTTAAAATTGCCTGTGAATCTTCTGGAGCAAGAATCTACCCAGGCAAATAGCGAGGACTGCTCTCTAACAGCCATTCAAACCATGGCTTGATGAACTCCCCATCTCCTTGGAGCTGCATCCTGGTCCTCCAGTAAAAAACGATC